AAAAAAAAAAAAAAAAAAATCCAAAAAACCAAAGAAATATTTTTTCCCTTAATGATGCATTGCTTATAAAATACAATTAAAATATAATAATCATAAAGACTTTCAAAGTAATTTAAACAAACTACTTAAGGCCATCTTAAAAGAGTTGTACTTTCTAGCTATAAAATGGATAATAGCTCCTCTTGTCTGCAGCACTTAAGAGTTGAGCGACTCAGATCAGATGTGAAGGACTCAAAAGGAAAAATTTTAAGGTCCATAGCAGGAGCATACTATTCATCCAAGAATCTGAACACATCATAAGGATTATGACCATTCATACTAGCAAATGATACCAGAATAAGGCAAACATTAATTTGTTCATCAGGCTGCAGCAGTCAGTATGGAAACTCAAACCACAGAGTATGAATTGCTCAATTTACAGAAAGGTAGGGAAGATATAAGACAGGAAAAGATAACTCTGAGGAAGAGTCATAGATGTCATAAATGCTCACAGACTTAAGGGAATAGGAGTAATTTATTACTAAACGAGAAATTCTAGACACCCAAGTAGAAAAGTAAAGTTTGAGAAGAGAAATAGGAAGAGCAAACTGACACCAACAGATATTTTCAAAATGCCATTTTATGGCTGGGAATTCAGCTCAGTGGCACTGTGCCTGTCTCAGAAGTGCGGAAGTCCAGAGTTTAATGCCTGGTAACAGAAAACAACAACAACAAACAAAAAAAACCCAGAAAAAAAATAGCCATTTTATCACCATTACCCTACTCCCATCCATTTCTACAGATACTGTCAAACCAAATTCTGATGGATAATTTTGCCAACCTCCAGGTTGTGCAGAATATATTTTCTTGAAATTTCTTTTCACTACTTTTAAGGAAAGAGGAAAGAATTGCAAATTCTGATTTTTGATGTTAGACTTGCTAAGTAAACATAGCTGAGTTTTTACTCAGTGGTTAAGGATTTCACTTTTCAAGTAAGTCAATGTATCTGGACTCAATGCAAAAGGACAACATATACTTAATATAAAAATCCTCTATTCATAAATTTAAGTGTTGTTTTTTATTTTACAGATACTGGTGATTGAACCTAGTGCCTTCACACTGAGCTACACCCCTAGCCTTTTTAAACATTTTCAATTTTGAGACAAGGTCTCACTAAGTTGCCCAGTCTGTGCTTGAACTTGTGATTCCTCCGCCTCAGCTTTCCAGAATGCTAGCATTAGATGGATACTGACATGCCTGACTTAAGGCTTATTTTTTTAATCTGAACACATACCTTCAAAACCATTTTACTCTTTACTGTGTCCACTATAAGAACATAATGCCAAACCCAATCACATTTTTATTAATTACATTCTTCTGAAGTTATAATATATAAACTCTAGAAATCACACTAATCTAGAATAAATCACTTAGTTCAGACTACAATTAATTCACTAGATACATAGGAGTAATGAGTTCTGTGTTTGCTTTAATATGAAGTAAAACATGATACACATATGTACCAATGAAGCATTCATTCTCCAAAGTACATTTGGTCTTATTTAAATGAGATTTATACTTTAATTTGAGCACAAGAATTCCCTGAAAAATATCAAACTTCTTATAATCCCCAATTTTCCTTAAAAATATCTTTTCAAATTACCCTGCAAATTATTATTTTGTTTGTTTATTTTGTTGTTGTTTTTGGTACCAGGGATCTAACTCGGGCCCTTGCGCTTATGAGGTAGGCACTGGAACCACTGAGCTAAATGCCTGGCCCACAAATTATTATTTTGAAAGTTTCCTCATATGAGTTAAGGTTATTAAAAGCACAGATTTAATTATTTGAACATTTTTAACCCAAGAAGAAGCAGAAATGAGTGAAGGTGTTTAAGCAGCTAACGTCTGTTTTACCATGTCATTTATTTGGCCTTGGTGTCCAGAAAACCTTCTGACAATCTTCCTAGTTTCTATGTCCAGAACACTAATGGAGAAGTCATCCAAGGCGAGTCCCAAAATGCCACTAACAAGATAAACACACCAGCTTTAATACACAAACAAAAAAGCTTGGACTATGTATTCTGTTCATCAAATACAGCTTTAAGAAAATTAAACCAAATGTCATTCTTACCAGTCTGATTTTTTTCTACTTGGTAAATTATGTACTTAAGAACTTGAACTAAAAACATCAAAAAGAAAAATCTATTATCATTTAAGAATTTACCTGTCCCTATGAAGCAGCATCATGTTTGGAGATGAATCAAGGCTCACAGAATGGATTAAACCTTTGCTTTTAAAATTCCAGAATTTGAGTAATCCTTCACTACCAGTCGTAATGGTCAACTGGTTCAATCCATCCACCGCAACACCTCGAACAGATCCCTTATGAGCTTTTAAGTACACGTTAAAAGAAAAACATATTAGAATTGGTAAAGCCTATTTCAATAGCAGATAAGCAATTTCATTATTCAAATACTGAAATTCCCATCATGTCCCTAAAATCTTTAAATTAAAAAGGATTTTGGAGGGTAGGGAGATCCTTAATTATTCTGCTCAGGTAAAAAACAAATCAGTTTGTGCCATAAAAGAGCTTCCAAAATGTCATTAAAATTTTCCTGTTGAAAGCAGAGAATTTTAAAAATTTGTTATATAACACCTACATTTCCCTTATGTGTCCATGACTTCATTCTCTTTCAATAGTTCAACATGATGTTTATAACAAATGTAATAACATCTGCTATACGGAGTTGTGATAACCTACCTAAAACTTACTTTAAAAAAAAATGAAAAAAATTCAGTACCTCGATCCTTGCCAAAACTTCCTCGATGTATTCCAGACTGCATATTATAAACATCTACAGTTCCTGATGAGAGGCCAATTACAGCAAAGTTCCCACAAGAAGTTATATCCACTGCCTTCAGGGATGGGAGAGTTACAATTAAATCCAAAGACTATAATTTAATCTTATTTCCACTCTTGAAACACATATAAATCATTTGAGACACAAAACATTACTAATTAATGCAAATGAAATTTACCAAGTCAGAAGAACTGTTTATCATACTGGTCTTTTATTCTGAGCTGTGCAAAGCATTCTGTGACCCAATTTCCCCCTACTTTACCTTACTTTTATAATTGTTTCTGAAGTTGATATAAAATTGAAAACATACCGTTAGAATGTTCAATGAAAAAGACCAAAATATTTTAATTATGAGATACCAGGAACACAGAATATGACATGTGTGGAAAATGTAAGACTGGTACTTCTTTACCAGACCATAGTCAGGAAGAGCACCTACCCATGCATCAGTCATGCCACTCATCCGAGAGATCTTACAACTAAATAAACAGATGAATCTGACTGCTTAAACAGAAAATAACCGAGATTTAATTGAGAAAATATTTGAGGTTTAATACTTAACTATGCCAAGCAACATAAAGCTGATATACCACTCTGCGAATCAAGACACATTTTTATGGTATTACATAAGAATGTTTCATTTACATACATTTTCTAAATAATTAAAGCTTACTCCATTATAAAGTATTTTAGGTAGGAAATAATGCACTGCTTAAAAAGCATTTTTTTTAAAAAAAAGCATTCTATCCTCCTAAATGGAACACAAACAATCTTATCCATTTTGATTAACTCATATTTATGTGGTATTACAGGTATCTCCTCAGGAACTAATGGAGAAAGTAGGCCATAACCTATAAGTAACAAAGGCCCCTCCTGATCCTGCTACCCTTTTTAGAACTTATTTTAATAAGATTTATTGTTTTTAGTGTGCCTGCTTTTAGCAATCTCTTCCAATTTATTCATTCTATTTTATTTTCTATGACACAAAAAACAAAGTGAAAAGAAACTATAAGAGGTACCTTGGAGTCACATATTTTACTTCAGTAAATGGGCTAAAAATTACTTTTGTTTCTTGCTGGTTACTGGCTTTGTTCCAGGAAGCTGAGGTTGTCAAACAAAGGACTCAGCACCAGTTAAGAATCATTTATATGCTAAAAGTTCTGATCATTGTAGAGTGTAATACAGGGTCCAGAATGAGTAATCTTATGCTCAAATACCAGCCACCCTACTTACTAGCTTTACTGACCATAGGCAAGTTACTCATTACATTAAGCTTCAGTCTTATCTTCTGTAGAGAGGCGAAATCAGAGTAGTTATAAGAATAATATGAAATAAATGCCAAAGGAAGAGATTGGAACAAAATAAGCACTCATAAAATATTAAGCTACTATCTTTACCACTACTACTAAAACTACCATTCAAAATTGTGCAGGTAAACTTCTAAGGAAATGTAGAATCTTTATGGTTTAGAAAATTACATAAAAGCTTAAAACTGGCATTTCATACTATGGAGAGTAAAGCACACATACTTAAGTCATTTGTACATAGCAGTTAATTATACTCTTCAGCATTTTCAAAACCATATGTATCCATTTACAAGTTACTAGAACTAATAAATCCAGCAAGGTTGAAAAATACAAAATTAATATAATCCAAAATAAAATCAAAGAATACAGACGAAAGTTAACCAAAGAAATGTGAGGCACATATTGCCAACTACAAAACACCACTGACAAATTGTTCTTGGGTCAGGGATGACAACATTCAAACTGATCTACAGAATCAAAATCTTAGCTGTCTTTTTGTCATAAATGTACAGTCTAATCTTAGAACTCATGGGACCAAAAGAGCCAAAACAATTTTGAAAAACAGAAGCACAAACCTGGAGGAGCCATACTTCCTGATTTCAAAACTTTTACAAAGCTAACATAACCAAGACGATGTAGTATAGGTATAATGACAGACACATGAAAACACCATAAATCCTTGGGGAAATGCGAATTAAAACCTCACTGGGGATGCTACTTCATATCCAACCTCAAACAGTGAAATAAATCTGTGCAACCTATTAGGAAATAACTTCTAAATGTTAACTCATGTTTCTTTTGACCAATGTTATTAGTAAACTTGAGTACGACAAAATTATTACAGGACAGTTTTAAAGGAGAAAATATCCTTAAAAAGCAAGCTCACTTACTGTCGCAGTGATGTCATCCGTCTTCAATTCTTTTGGCTTGAGAAAGTAAGAGCCTATTGTAGATCTCTGATAATTCCATGTTGAGCAGGATAGCTTACCTTGATGGCAAGCAATGATACCATCCCAGTCACTCTCACGAGCTGCCTCTGAAAATAATTAACATCAGATTAAATTGATTTTTTGTTCTCATTCATCTATTAATAAGCACCTAATATTCCACATTAACATAGAGGTACTAGAGAATAGCAAAACAGATTATCTCTGATAATAATGATCTTCCAATATAAAGTTATTACTTTTAATTGACAAAAAAACCCCTACATATTATGGTGTTCAATGTGCTTTGACATACACATGGTGGAATGACTAATTTAACACATGTTAACAACAGATTTTTGTTATAAGAAATTATAGTGAAAGTGAAATGGCATAACAGTGTTTTATAAGAGCCCTCGGGAAGTTTCACTAAGAGATTTTGGAAAAGTAATACATTGCTTCCTGGAAAAAAAAATAAAACAAATAAAATTTAGCAGTGCAGAGGTTGGGGAAGTTCTATCAACCATAAGCCCACGAGTAACTGAACAAAACTGAGGATAGCAAGTAGATGAAGTATTTTTTTTTGGGTGGGGGGGAGATTGGTAACACGACAAAGCAAGTAGACTGCATTACAGTCTTCAAAGCCCTTCTGGAGAGAAGATTCTACCCTAAAGGTAGTGAAACGCTATTAAAAGATTTTAAACCAATGAATGGTATGGTTCAGATATATGTTTTGGAAAAATCGTTTAGGGTCTAAGGAAACAAGACAGAAAGGTGGTGAAAGAACAAAAATAAAAAACTAATCAGGATGTTACATCCTTGAAATAATAACCATAAAACAAAAATGGTATCATTTACACGTATTTTTCTAAAATTTACTTCTTGCAAAGAAGCTCTGCTCAAATGATATATACTACGACCTCAATGTACTTAGATGTTGGTTAGTCTCAGCTCTATGTCCTTACTACACACTGCTGTCTCAGTTTTCACCCTACCACATTAGTGGCTTCAATTTTATCAGCCATGTGACAGAATGACAAGAGATATAAAATCAAACTACTACTTATTAACCGTAGCTGTTATAGAAAAAACAAAGCCTGAAATTAATAAATTCATGTTACAAATAACTCATTTTTAATCTTACACAGAAGCAGCATAAACTTGGGATTACCTTCTAAACATTGATATTTGAAAACACATTTATTAAAATGGAAGAAATACAAATAAAACAACAAAGAATTTCTTAAAACACAGTATGAAGCTACTTACCAGCTGCAAACTTTGTGATAGGTGGAAGTCTTACTGACATGGTATTCTGAAGTCCTTTACGCTTGACTCTCTTTTTATTTATTAATCCTGGGGTTAGGGATAAGGAGTAATAGCTATGAATATTTTTCTTAATGTAAAATATATATATTCATAACAATCCCTTTATTTCACAAAACTATATTCAAGATAGTCCCATTAAAGTCAGGAGCAAAACAAGAATATAAGCATTACTACTGGCTGCTTACTTCTATTTTATGTAATTAAGACATGAAAATAAATCACAAACTATAAATAACTGAAAATGTGATAAAATATTATCTGCCAATGATATGATGGTCATACAGTCAAGTCAATCAAAAGAAGCAACCAAATAATTATCAGAATAAGTTTCACTGGGTTATGTTACTAAATCTATGAGGTGTGATAAAAAAATACAATGAATGTTTAAATATTTTTAAAATGTTACAGTGAGACACACCGATAATTCCCCCAATAATTCTTCCTCTCATTTTTTTGGGTACCAGAGACTGAACTCAGGACCTTGCACTTGTGAGGCAGGTGCGGTGCCATTGAGCTAAATCCCCAGCTAACCTTCACTTTGAACATACAGATCCCATCATTCTTGCCATTTCTGAAGCACTTTTGGAAGTCCTCCTTCATGAGTGTCTTTAGTTGAATTGTCATGGCTTCCTCAATGTCCTGAATTGATTCAAAATATTTTACCTTCCATGGTCATTTTGACTTTAGGGAAGAGTCAGAAGTCATATGGTGTCAGATCTAATGAATAAAGTAAATGAGGACACACTAATGTCTTCAACAGTCTGCCTTTCTATTACATGGCACTGAAGAGCATTATTCAGTTTTTTGATCAGAGACACTCACCAGTAAGAACTTCCAGAACTGCTTTAGAAAGTATAAAAGAAGTGTTAAAGGAGTATTTTGAAGGAAATTAATGAAAATGTCTTTTTTTTCTTTTTTTTTTGGTATTGGGGATTGAACTCAAGTCCTTGCACTTGCAAGGCAGGCCACTGAACTGCTGAGCTAAATCCCCGGCCCTGAAAATGTCTTTTACTATATTAAACTTTAATATAGTTTGATCACAACCCATAAGAAAGCCCACTAACTTCCTAACATTGTACCAATAATAAACAAATAAAGATTTCATTTATAATAATAATAACTAAAAGTCATTGGGAGGCATATACTTATATGAATAGCTAGGATATTTATTTTAAAAAGATGATTACTCATTACTTTGGAAACCATTTTTATTTTGTTTTTTTTTTAAAAAAAAAACAAAAAAAACAGCTAAAAAAAAGGAAAAAGAGAAACACTGGTTATCTTGGTGTTTTAACTAAGCTTGCTTGCATATTTAAAATTCTGCATATATAGGCTCATGTTAGGTTGTCAATGTCTTCAGGGTGGCAGCAATACTTTTTATCACCCAAGATGTATAATATTTTTAATAAGCTGATAGCAGTACTTCCAACATTTCATAATAACTCTGATATTAGGATCTTTTTATTTTTTTGAGGCAGGGTCTCCCTTTGTAGTTCAGGCTGGTCTTTAACTTATTATGTAGCCTGGGATGGCCTCAAATTTACAGCAATCCTCCTGCCTCAGTCTCCTGAGTATTCGGATTACAGGTGTGCACCATCACGCCCGGCTGATACTAGGATCTTGTTATTGCCTCCTCCCTTTATTTTTTCCTTTGTCCAAGAAAAGGTATTACTAAAATCTCTGCCAGTTTTGTCACTAGAATCTAAAAATGTTTCAAGACCACCAGCTTATTTTCTATCTTGCAAATGACCTACCATGTCCCAAGCTCTTGTTGAATTTTTCATGTACCGTGGAAAATGACTGAAGAGTTCCATCTTGGCCTAAAGATACACATAGAAATTCCCAGTCAGGCTTCATCAAAAGAACAATCCATGTGAATCTTATAAAATTAGATTCTATAAAAAGTCCAATGTTATAGTTTGGGATAACTCAAAGAAATACTTCAATTAAAAATGTGTAAACAGCGGGGATTTAGCTCAGAGGTTCAGTGGCCTGCCTTGCAAGCGCAAGGACCTGAGTTCAATCCCCAGTACCAAAAAAAAAAAAAAAATGTGTAAATAGCAAACTGAATACTGAGCTTCTACCTCTCAAAACTTACTGAAATAATAATGCTAGATGGTAGAAACTCACTTGCACTTAGAATTTGTTGTCCATTTTGTCCATAATATCTGATATTGGTAAGAGGAGCACTATGTCCCATTCTGAATCTCAAAAGTCGGCCTTCACCTGCAGGACCATCAAATATCCATATCTGCCAAGAAATAAAATGATAATGTTTTTCTACCATGTGCTATCTGATCTGCAAGGCACTAGGCTACTACGGAAATCACTATTGGCACGGGTAGAGCCTGCAAGATCACTGACCCTGGACTAGGTATTGGGAAAAAAGATGCAATTATTTTTTACTTCACTGCAATCATTACCAGTACTTCATTCTGTATTCTTTTCCCTTTTCATACTCAAGACTGATATATTAAAGCAGGCTTAAAATAACTCAAAGTGTAGGTCAGATGAATCGGGAAGAGAAAAATAATCATAATACCCTGACAGCATTGTCAGCACCGTTTGTGACAAGAAGTGGCTCTCTATGGAGAAAAGTCAGTCCAGCAATTGCTGTAGAGTGTACATTTCTCATCTGATTGATTAATTTTTTATCTTCTAGATCCCAGAGTCCAATATGGCCACACGGGCTCCCAGCTGCCATTACTGGATGACCATCTGTTATTAAAATAAAACAAGTTAAACCAGGGATTTAGCTCAGTAGTTCCACCACCAACCTCACAAGCGCAAGGGCCTGAATTTGAGCCCCAATATAAATAAATAAATAAAATAGGTTAAGAAAAACTACTTAAAAATAACTAAACCTAACAACTCTCCCTTTTAATTCATAATGTTAGAAAAGATTATACCAATAATCTTTCCATATGCCTTTACCTGCAGTATTTCACTAACTTTTATAAAACAAGAAAATATCTATGAAGAAGATTTCCATTACTTTTAAAGTAAAGCATTTCAAGTGTTTTTAATTTTTATACACAAATGTTACCTGTGCGAAATGAAATTGAAGTAATGGGTCCCCAGTCTTGACGAAACTTCATTAATGTTTCATCAAATTTAATGTTGTGAATGATAATTTGACCCGAGATAAGACCAACAGCAACAATATCCACAGCTGGTGCCTGAAAATTAAATTATTCAACTTTTTATTTTCTTAAAGCTTTAATAATCTTGATGATATGTACTATTACTTGCATATTATCAAAAGAAATAATAAAATGTCTTCTTAAAGGTAGCAAAGAAACTCCACAACTATTACTATTCTGGCATACTTTAACTGTTATTCAACACGGAAGCATTTAGGAATGATTACTTCGTAGCTTCAAATCTGCCATTAAGCATCTCCCAACCCCGAAACAAAGCTGACTTGGTAATAGAAGAGTCACACAGAAAAGGAGGCTTATGTGTGAAATCACTACAGATCGCTGACCATATTAAACAGAAGAGACCAGTCATAGAAAATACATAAAGACTTTCTGCAAGGGGTCAGCTACAAAGGAAGTGAAGGTTTTATTCAAGGCATATAGGAAAAACTTGTAAAATATGCTACAAGGTAAAAAAGTTGTACAACTAGCCTGTTCTAGTACTAATGCTCTATGATAATGGTGCTATAATTACAATGGTCTAACACTCAGGCTCTATTATGAATTTCTCTATTTTAACAAAGATGAGTGTCCAATACCACTTAGAAGAGAAGCAGGCAAACCATTTCATTAATATGCCATTAAGTGCCTATTTTTGTGAGACCCTACAAAAGCTAACCAACCTAAAATCAATATTATGCCCTACCTCCAGGGACTGATCTATCTGATGCCATAAGGTTCTTTTGGACAGGTAAAAATATAGCAAGGTTTGCGGCAGTGAGAGGGGATAAGGGAATGCAAATAAATCAGGCAGATGTAGGCAACAGATTATTTAGAAAAATAAGCATACAATAGCTGTGTCAACAATGGATACACCAGGTTTTCTGCAGACATTCATTCATTCATACATGTTTTACTGACTCATAAAAACAAAAATCAGTTATTTCTGGAACACACTATCATTGAATAAACATAAAATAAACATTTTGAGCCCAATTATTTCAAACTACAAATCTCAGTATCCAAACAAATTTCTCTGTATGACCTACAGTTTCACTTGCATTACTAAAGTCATAGGGCATTAAACTACATGCTTGCAAAATGATTTATGAACAAAGCCTCACAGCAACCACAGGTTTAGAGCCCAATTCTAAGCACAAAAGATTCCAAAAAGTTTTATAGGCAAAGATGTCACTGCTTGTTTTCAGTTACATTCCCAAAATTCCATTTCTTTAGGGTAACTTATCAAAATAAACCAAGTTATATTATTATTAGTTTGCCTTTAAATCTAAAACTATGTTGATCCCTGAAGCTAAAATATCCCACTACTAATATTTCTTCTTCTGTACAAGTCACTAACCTGCTGAAGAGCTGTCACTCCAACTTTCCATCCTGGAAATGTATACAGAAGTTTACTACAAGAAGAAAAGTAGTTGAAAGCTATTTTTTAAAGGAAAACAAAATGTATTATATTTTAAAAAGTGAAATGATAACAGGTGTTACTCCACCACATACTATCATAAAAAAAAGCTTGTATAATACTTAAAACAACTGAATAAGGTATTACCCCCTTTTCCAGAAAATGGAATACAGCAAACTGAGCAAATTAAGCTAATGCTAATAGATCTAGATGCATTCTAGACGCCAGCCTGCAAATGGCTATATTATACTATCTCTTTAAATTTTTTTCAAGTAGAAAAAAATTACATGAGTAAAAATGCCATTTTATTTAGACCATAAAAAAAAAAAATCTTGCACTATAGGCAGATTTCTCTGCCATGTTTCTCTAGAAACATTACTACAAAGAATACAGTATGTTAGCTTTTAACAAAATAGTACTTGTATGTTACATTAGTCAGGTGTGGTGGTGCACGCCTGTGATCCCAGCACTCGGGAGGCTGAGGCAGGAGGATCGCTGTGAGTTGGAGACCAGCCTGGACTGCACAGTGAGTTCCAGGTCAGTCTCAACTCATAGTGAGATCCTGTCTCAAAAAA